TCTGGCTCCCCCACTGACTGCAGTGCTTTTGGGAGTGTGCATGCGGAGGGGAGTGAAGGGGCTCCGGACCTCTGGGAACAGCAGCCAGCCAATTCCTGGGGCGAGGAGCTGTGCAGCCATGGCAGCAGTAACACACTTCGATCCCAGGCGCTGGGGCGAGAGGGCATGGCAAGGCGGGGGGAAGTGGAGGAAAGAGCCAGCTCATAATTGCAAACGTCGCTAATTTGGTGCAGCTGCATGGCTGGAGAGGCAGCCCAGAAATATGCCGTCATTCCTCAGCAGGGTAGGACTGTGCAAAGCCCCTTTGCCGCCAGCGAGCTTGGAGCCAAGAGCGTGCATGGACAAACGGGGGGATGAAGAGAGAAGGGCTTACCTCTGCCAGCGTTCCCAGGAGCCGCGGCACCCACAGGACAAGCAGCAGCAGCGGCGGTGGTCTCATGGGGACCAGGGTGGCTGCAGATTAGAGGGATGACAAGTTGGGGGAGGGGGGTAGCTTCTTAGCAGTGGCTGTCCCCAGCCAGCCCCTTCTCCCATGGCAGCAAAGGGCTGTGTCCCCACATGCTTTCTGAGTGCGGGTGACAAGATGACATCAGTGGGGACCGGCGTTGCATTCCAGCGTGTCGCACATCAGCCCTGCCAGCTGTCCTTGGGCAGGAGCAGACCGTGCCTCCGGGCTGGGAGAAGTCCAGTGTGTGTGTGTGTGCCTCTTGCTGTGTGCATTTGCTATTGTTCCCGTGGCTCTGTGTCCCTCTGCGGTGACTCTGCAGCTGTCCTTGTGTGAGCGTGTGCGTGCTGTGGCCAGAGAGCTGCTTGCCGGGGGGCTTGGGGGGGGGGCTCTGGCTGTGGCTGGGTCTCTGCAGGGCTGGTGCCCGCTCTGGCCAGCAGAAGGAGTTCTGCAGAGTTGGTGCCAAGAGGGGAGGAGAGGGGAGGAGACAGGACAGGACAGATGGCGGCTCAGAGCTGGAAGGGAGTGCCCAAGCCAGCCCCCAGCATGGGGTGGGAGGGCGGCCCGCGGCCTCCGGCAGCCGAGCGCGGGCTGGGGAGCGGGGACCCGGGGTGCTGTGCACCTTGCGGCTCGCTCTGTGCCCGCCACGTTCATGCACCCTTTAGCTCTGCATGCGTGAATTTCTGCACGGGGTGCTGATGGGGAATGGGAGGTTTGGTCATGCTGGGTGAGTTTGTGTGATGCCCATGCAGCTTGGAACTGGGGGGGTGTGGTGGGTGGTGTATGGGCACATTGTGAGAGGTTCCTGTGTGCTGCATTCCACAGGCACAAAGATGCCTGGACCACGCTTTTCCCATTTGAGGGGTTGGCTGGGTCCCTGTCTGCTCATGGGTTGTGGGAGTTGTACTCCGTGGTGCTGCCATGGGGAGTGCGCTGTGCCCCCCCCGCCCCCGCTGCGTGCAGGGCTGTGCGTTGTGTGGTGCTGTGCTGTCTGTGCAATGCGTGGCGGGGTGCCAACTCTGATTCAGAGCGGAGATGCCATTGGCTTCACATCAGCGCTGCAGATATGGGACAGTGCTGGAAGAGATTCAGTGATGCATCTACCCTGGAAGCCAGCACAGCCTGTGTGGCCATGGGAGTCTGTCTCAGTAGCCGTGCTGGCCACCAACAGGGGCTATTCAAGCTCTGCTTATTGCTGTGAGCCACTGAGCTGTCAGAGTGGGACACATCTCCCAGCTGGCTGCAAGACAGCAGGGTCCCTTCCCCAAAAACTCAGAGGTTTGTCAGGTGGGACCTGTGACAGTCAGATCAGCCCCCAGTGCCTGGGCAAAGACATGGGAAAGCCCTATCCCCTGCATGTAATTGAGAAGAGGGGGACACAAAGGCCCCGGTCTAGGATCCATCTCCAACCCCAAACCTCCTGACAGCCCCCAGGCTGATGGGGCCAGCTGGGAAAGGGGACAGAGCACATGAGTCCCCTTCCCTTCATACGGGGGACCATTAATTCCCCAGGTCCTGGCCAAATGGGACTGGTGCCAGGAGTCCTGGTCCGTGGTCACAGTCATGTCTCTGCAGAGGTCCAGTCCCCTGCCTGGAGCAGGTTGAGGGTAAAGGAGCCCTGGCCCTGCTGCTCAGCTGAGCAGTGAGGGCTTATTTGTCATCCACATCTCCTCTGTTAGTGGCTCGGACATCCCGCAGCAGAGAGGCACAACTCAACAACCAGAGGCCCTTCAAGTCACTCTGTTCCCGGACCCTGCAGACCCCTCCATGTCCCTCTGCATCCTGAATACGGAGATTGGGGTGGGAGCAGAAGGCAATGACTTAGCTCCAGTGCAGGCAAGTTTTTTAATCCTTAATACTGGCAGCTGAATGCCAGGGAGGCCTGAATGTCAAAAATGCAAGTGGTGCATCTGCTCAGGTGATGGAGGCCTGGGGTAAAAGCGCTTGCTCTTACGAATGCCCTGATAGGCACTGGGGACTCAGGTCCATCAGCACCTGGGGTGATGGGGATAACCCATCAACAGTGCCACAGACAGCTGGGGACACCTATCCCTGCTGCTGGATGTCGGTGTGACCGGGGGCTGGCCATCCCCCACAGGAGTGCAAGGATACTGGAGGTCATGTCCTCCAGCCACTGAGATGGATAGGGAAGGAGTCCCCCTCCACAAGCTGAGGCAGAGGGAGGTTTGGGGCTGGCTGCTGCCATCTCCAGTGGGCTGGGGACTGTTTTAAAAGGCCCCTTTCCAGAGCTGGGCTGCTGCAGCCAGCTGGGAGGAGGCTAGAGGTCCCCACCACAGTGAGGGCTTGCCAGGTTTACCCGGAGGCCCGGGGCGAGATCCAGGAGGATACAGCTGGCTGGTCCCCAAACGAGTTTGCAAAGAGGCTTTTGGTGGATGTCCCCGTGCGGGTCCATGGCAAGGTGCACCCTGCCATGGTAGCGCAAGGAGACGTGACCCCGTGTTGGACGGGGAGCGTGGGGCTGTTCACTGCTGTGAGCAGCCTGGAGGGTGAGGATGGCTGGGGTGGAGGCAGAGCAGGCAGGGGAGGCTGGGGTGGACGGGACCGTGTGATGTTCCCAGAGGGTGAGGACAGAGCTGAATTGGAGGAGCACCTGGCTGATGAAGCAGGGGTTGGAGGTTAGGATGGAGGGCCTTGGTGGGCTGGGAATTGCGATCCAGGGGGATTGGGCAGGAGGGACCCTTGGTTACCAAGGAAAACCCTGAGAAGAGATTCTGCATCCCCCAGTGTCTGAGGCAGGTGACAGGGGACAGTGTCCCCTGCAGTGACACAGACAGGAGATTTTCCCAGGCTACAGAGTCAAGGTGGGGCTCCTCTGGCTTCAAAGCACACCAAAGAGCAGCTCCAGGCCAGCAAGAGGACAGACACACTCATTGGAGTCCTGGAAAACCCCAGCTGGGCTGAGTCTGCCCTGCCCATCTGGGGAGCAAGGTGAGACCACGCACACTCGCTATACCTGCCCACCTGCAGCCCCAACGCTCCTGACACCGGCCTCTCTGCAAAGCTGGTCATCTCCATCTCCCACCACCCCAGCTCAGTGGGATGGAGATGCAAGGGAAGTAGGTGGGATGCGGCATCTCAGGAGCTTGTTGGAAAACAACTGCTGCTGCCACGGCACTTTGTAGGGGTACAACTCTGGGCATTGGCTTGCCCAAGGACCAAAGGGTCTGTCCTGCCCTCCCTGGTCTCTGGGCTGGGGGGCTGAGCAGAGGCTTCTGGAGCACAGTGTTTCCATCCTCCCGGAGCCCGCTGCCTTGCTGTGCCAGTGCCCTGCACCTCTCCATCCAGGAGGAGAGGTGACCCCCCACCTGGAGTGAGGACAGGCTCAGGGGGATGCCTCGGCACCATGCCTTGCTGCCCACCAGGATGGGACTGACCTCTGGGCACAGACCCAGCTGTGTCCCAGTGGCTCTCCTAACCTCCACATTCTTCTGGTGGCCAGTTACAGGGCTTGTAGACCTGGCACCCCACTGGCCGTGGGGACACATCCATACCAGCCCCACTGATCTAAACCTGGGGACCCAACAGTTTTGTTCCCTGAGCTCAGGGAGTTCGGGCTGTGCCTGTGGTGGAAACAGCCCAAAACGCTGGTGGGAGCCAAACCCAGGCCCTGTCCCTGGCGCCGTGGGGCTCAGCAGCCTCCCATACTGGACAGAAGAAGCTGCTCATTACATGCCAGCGCTGCCCTCCCTGCAACCACCCCGGTGACACTGTGCCACCACAGGTAAAGGACAGAGAGAGAGGCTGCCTTCAGCTGGGGATGCCAGATCTCCCCTCCGGTCCCCCTGACAGTGAAGCCTTCGGCTGTAACAGACCCAAAAACAACTGCAGAAGGTTTCTCCACCCAGCAGCTGGAACCAGGCCTGGAAACTCAGGGGCTGCCGAGTCATCACATTTTCCGTGAAGCAGCAAAGGCTACCGCAAGGAGCAGGGGGATGGGGGACGCCCCGCCGACCATAAGCGCTCGAAAGCTATGCTGGCCAGAGCTGGGGTGGGACCGCAGGGTCTGTGCAGCCAAGCCACTGCCTCCTACATAGGGGAGACCCTCAGCCTGGGAGATTGTCCTTGCCTCAGGCCCTGGTAGGATCATCCAGTCTGGAGCAGAGACGGGAAAGGGGACCTCTAATAGCATGCCCATCATTGTGGTGTCAGGTCTTCCTTAGACTGGGGGACAGCAGCCACAGTACAGTGGCAAAGGCCCTGTCTGGCAAAGTCTCCAGGCAGTCCTCCTGGGAAGTGCCAGCCTCAGACCAGAGCAGAGTCCACCCCCAGCTTGCCTTTGTACTCCATGCACTGGCCTTTACTCCAGGTGCCCTGAGCATGGAGCTGGTGGCACAGGACTTGTCCGCGCTGAGGCATCTCTCAGACCTGAGCATGGTCCTGCACACCTGGGGGAAGTAGGGGACCTCCCTGGGGAGCACTAGCTGGGGTGAGGATGAGCAGGGTGGGCAGCAGAGTGTCAGCCTGCAGCACCCCAGCATCCCCCATGTCACAGAGGCTGTGTGCGGTGACAGCCAGCGCACAGTGCTCCTGAGGCTGGTCATGGGCAGAGCCCGACAGGGTCCCTGCACACCGCTGCCAGGGGACAGCATGCAGGCAAGGATGCTGCCACTCCTCAAAGGACCCAGCCTGCCACCCAGAGAAGGCAGAGCCATAGCCTGGCACTATGCCATGATCAATGCTGTCACTGCACGGAGAAGCCTGCACCCAGGTCTGTACCCTACTGTCCCCGTGGGACCTCTGGGCAGGACCCCTTGCATCCAACCTGGCACCTTGCAACAACGTGGTGCGCTGGGGATGCATGATATGGGGCACTGGTGCCACTGGGATTGGGCTGGGAGCCGCTCTGGCTCTCCTCTCCTGCCTCTGCCCAGCAGCAGCATTCCTCCGGTCCTTGTCCCTCTGGTCCCTGTCTGTCCTTGAGCCCACCAGCACTGTGAACTGCTCCAGGCCACAATTTCTCCCCTCTGACACCT